AATGGATTAAGAAAATGTAGCATGGCGGGGGGGGGGGGAGGGAAAGGATGGTAGGGGAAAAACAAAGGAGGAGGTAATAATGCTCGATAGGAAATGTACTCATTACCTTACTCTTGTAACGGTAACCCCTCTGTACAGTATCTTTACAATACAAAATATATACTAAAAAGAAGAAAATGTAGCATGCTAACACAATGGGGTATTATTCAGCAGTAATGACATATGAAATTATGTTATTTGTAGGAAAATGAATGAAACTCATTTCATTTTAACATCATCATGTTAAAATAAGCCAGACTCAGAAAGAAAAATGTCATGTCTTCTCATATGTAAAATCTAGATTGATGAGTATGATGAAAAGATATGATCCTAACTGAGGGACCATTTTGGGGAGGGAGAAAGGGCCAGCCAAGGAGGAAAGGGAGACATGGAAACAGGCTGTAATTAAACTATAAGAAAACTTTCAGGGCTGGGAAGGTGGCTCAGTGGTAGAGCGCTTGCCTTGCATGCCTGAGGCCCTGGGTTCGATTCCTCAGCACCACATAAGCAAAAAGAAAAATGCCGGAAGTGGCGCTGTGGCTCAAATGGTAGAGCGCTAGCCTTGAGCTGAAGGGCTGAAGGGCAGTGCCCAGGCCCAGAGTTCAGGCCCAACGACTGGACCAAAAAAAAAAGAAAACTTTCAAAATTAAGCTTTGGGGGAGTTTTAGACTAGTACATCCTGAAATAAGTTACTGCTAAAGCAGGAAAAGAAGATACAACCATTCACTTACTGGTTTGTGGCAACAGTGATTAGGAAAACAGGACTACTGGGTATCCTATTGTAAAGAAAACCACATAGAGCCTGCTCATGGCTACTACAGCCTCTCCTGACCCCAGGGAAAAGTTAGTGGAAATCAGAACAAACTTCTTATCCTATGACAGTCTACTCAGTTCCTGTACTAAGATGGCCATCTGTAGGTCACCAGATGGAAAAAGTTAGTATTCCCTCCAAAAGGGTCTCAAAAGAGCCTTCTGAACCACAGTCTCTTACTGACCTGAATTAAGGTTTGTTTCCCTACCCAAGCTGCATATCAATATGCTAAGGGCTCAAGAGAAATGGACAAAGACTTACCAATACTCACATAAAACATATACTATGCCTCAGTAATTCAATGACAAATCATAAAATGCATGTCTTGAATTTTTATTTTTAAAAGGAAATGAAAACACATATACTGAGTCTGAACGCATCAGGGAGTGAGTGGTTTGGTTGCTGAGCTGTTGAATGGACTCCTGGGCATGGGAGCCCAAAGTCTTGGATGCTAGAGGTGGGCGTGGGGTTCTTCCACAGCATTGCAAAACAATGGCCATAAACTTCTATGATGTCACAGCCACCTTTGCCATGACAGCAGATAGGTGTTAGGCACTGATCTCGCTCTGAGGTGGACTCAACTACACAGAAAGGGACAACGAATGAGAGGAAGTGACTGCTATCCACCAGACCACAACCTGATAAGCTGTCCTGACTGGATGCTAAGGTTATTTGAGCTGGAGCAAGCTCATCTCCATGCAAGATTCCTGAGCACTAAGGACTAGGCACTATTGCAGGGATGGATGCTTCATGGACATATGGCAGGCTAGAAGCACCAACAGAGCTACTGACCTGGAGAACAATGCTCAACTAATAACAAGAGAGTTGAAAAATAAATAGCCCAGCTTCTTCGCCTTCAGGGAACAATTCTCAGGCCGTGAGAGATTCTCATGGTAATGCCAATTGCGGTAACACACTTCTCTTTCCACTCCTTACTTTCCTGGGACCACTTCCAATTTTTTTTCTTTTTTTTTTGATTTAATTTTATTTGTGTTTTTTTTTACATACATAAAAATCTTTGTTTCTGGAAGTCCTTCTGGGGAAACTTAATCTAAGACATCTTATGATCTTGAGAATAAAAGCCAAGTGGGGAGTGGAATCTAGAAATTCTATATCCTTGATGCTATGTGTTAGGCCCGTTTATAACTAGACTTCCTTGGAGAAGAATACATCTCATTATTGTAAACCACTGTCATTTTAAAGTTTTCTTTCCTTTTTTATTTAAGATAGGGTTTCCTATGTAGCTAGCCCAGGTTATATATATATATAATCTCCCCCCAACACTGGCTTTGAACACAAGATCTTCCTGCCTGAGCATTCTAAGTGTATAAATACAGGTGTGTACTACCATGTTTGACTGCAATTAAGTTTTTATGGTGTACAGCCAAATGTAGTTCTGAGAGGTGTGGAGGAACTTTTTTTTTGTCAGTCCTGGGGCTTGAACTCAGGGCCTGGGCACTGTTCTTGAGTTTCTCTTGATCAAGGCTAGCACTCTATCCCTTGACCACAGCACCACTTGCAGCCTTTTCTGTTTATGTGGTACAGAGTAATCAAACCCAGGGCTTCATGCATGCTAAACACACACAGTACCACTAAGCCATCTTCCCAGCCCATATATGGAGACACTTTTGAGCTGACTACACATGCAATTAATCATTAGCTGGACATCACTGTGTAACTAGCTACTTAACACTGCACAGTGTCCAGTGTTTTCTTCCATGTTACCATATCTGATCCTCATGTTAATTCTATAAAGTATTGTCAACTCTGTTTTACTGAAGCTCATGCTGTGTCACCATGATTATAATGATGGCATCAGGACACCAAGATCATCTGACAGGGGCTGGACTGCTTTCTAGAGCTTACAGCATTTAAGTAATAGGGTCACTCTTCTTACCAGCTTTTTTTTTTTGCCAGTGCTGGGACTTGAACTCTGGGCTTGGGTGCTATCCCTGAGCTTATTTTGCTCAAGGTTAGCACTCTACCATTTGAGCCACAGTGCCACTTTTGGCTTTTTCTGTGATTAGAGATGACTCTCACGGATTTTCCTGACTGGGCTGGTTTCAAACTGATCTCAGCCTCCTGAGTAGTTAGGATTACAGGTGTGAGCCATTGGATCCTATTACCAACATTCACACCTATGGAACTGCATCCTACCTTCACAGATACCTTTCGGGCTGCCAAGGTTCATAATAAACTTCATATAGAAATATGTATGCACCCCCCCCCAAAAATAACCCCATGTACTAAATCCTATTACCACTAGGCCTGTGATGAGCCCCTCACTGAGTATTTACTCAAAAGTGGGACATTGTAGTGTTTGGGTCCAGAGCAGACATCTATTATCTGCAGGTTCAATGTGGACAAGAAATTCATTTCAGTATTGCTCAGAGCACCCAAATTGCATATATGCTTAATATATGTTGAAGTGGGTAAGCCAAGATAGAAACCCAGGTGGAATTAAATGCACTTGTGTTTAAAATCATTAACATCCAATTCCCTCACATGTAAATATACACTCTATAGAAGTTCTGACAAGTGAATACACTTCACTGAATGTTTAATAAATGCCATTCAAGTCCAACATTTTCCTTTAAAAAAAGAGACAAAATTATAATGTAAGTTGTTTATTAAAATGGTAACATTTAAACATTCTCTGAACTGTATCAAGGAATGCCCATTTACTTTTGTGAAATGTGTTGACAACCTAGGAGTTTCTGTACAAGGCTGAGCATTTTCAACATTCCTGGCATAGATGAGGAAAGATTCCTATTGGTGCCTCAGGAAATACAATTGCTGGTGTGTGTAGACAAGGTCAGTACCCAGGAGTTGGGCTGTAGGCAAAACATGCAGTAACTTCTGGTACACTCTGGAACTCATCTGATCTAGGGTGAAATCTCAGGCCAGGGTATAGAGGACAGATCATGGGGCTCACTGGGCTGCAAGACTCAAGGGAAAATACTGTACAGATGGGGATTTGACCTAAAAACAGATGTGAAGTGAGGCAAGGAAGCACAGGGATGTCTTCTCACAACCATCCCAGGTTGGTACCTCTGAAGCCTGACTCAAGAAGTAAGTTCTAAAGCCAGGTGTAGTGGCAAACACTGTTAATTCAGCATGTGAGAGGCTGTGCTGGAAGGATCTTGAGGCCAGTTTGGTCTACATAGTGAGACCCTGTCTTGAAAGAATAAGAGGGAGGGATTAAAGAGTAAAGAAGGAAGGGGTGGAGGGCTTGGAGATGTGGCTCAGTTAGTAGATAGTTAGTCAATGAGTGAAAGCATCAGGTACTGAGTTTAAGTTCTGACACTACCACCAGCTCCTCCACACCGCCCCCCCAAAACCCCAAAGAAGCCATTATAATAGGTGCATCTCTGAGGACAGGCAATTATCAAACTGATCATAAACATAGGAGATCAAAGAGTCTGTGTATAAGGTATCTATGAAGATAACTGTCAAATTTTGGGAAATTTATTTCACAAAACTATTTTACTTAAGAATGTTTTTTGGTTCTCCTATGACAATACAAAGTTTATGTATGAGATTAATAGACTTATTGTAAATACATTTTATTGGGAGCAGGCATTTGTTTATTATAAAATTTAACAAGATAAAACATAATTACACCAGTTCCTGTCAAAAGACTGTAGTTCAGAAGTCAAATTCAAAGATCAAGGCTTTTATAAAAAGATGAAACTGTCAATTACATACGAAGAGAATTGGTTAAATGTTTCTAAGTGGTTCTTCCCCTCTGCCGCCTTCTAAAAATCTAGCTTCATAGCTAGGTGCTGGTAGCTTGTGCCTGTACTCCTAGCTATCCAGGAGGCAGAGATTTGAGGATTGAGGTTCAAAGCCAGCCTGGGCAGGAAAATCTGGGAGTCTATAACATGAAATTAACCACCAAAAAGCTGGAAATGGAACTCAAGTGGTAGAGGACAAGCCTTGAGCACAAAAGCTCAAAGACAGCACCCAGGTCCTGAGTTTAATCCCCAGTAATGGCACCAAAGAACAAATGAACAAAAATATAGCTTTACAAAGTAATATTGAATTCTTACTTACTGGCACTATAACCTGGAAGACATCATCATTTAGGTTACCATTGTGTGTGTGTGTGTGTGTGTGTGTGTGTGTGTGTGTGTGTGTGTGGTTCTGAGGCTTGAACCCATTGCCTTAAGCTTGACAGGGAAGCAATATCCCCATACCCCACCTTTTCTGAGACAAAAAAAGGTCTGTGTTATATAGCTTAGGCTGACCTTGAACCTACTCCAAGAGGCAAGATTATAAGCATGTACCACCTATATCCAGCACCTACAATTATGTTTCTAAAACCAACTTATGCAGTAGCCAACATTTAATTACAATACTATTTGTGCAAGCTTACAGATCGTTTTCAGTAGTTTTGTTTTGTTTTTCTACAGTTCTGTAGTTCTGTGTTCTACTTTAGGGTTCTAAACACTAACATCCCTTCTTACAACACAAGAAGAAAAAACTCTCTTTAATGTAACAAGCTTCAAAGCTAGGAAAGGACCTCAAACCTGCTAGATAAGGGCAGGAATGGAGTTCAGTAACTGAAAATCTGAGGAACATTCAGGAGACTTCCCACAACAAGATATTTTAAAGATTTCTCATTACTCTTTTAAGAGAAACATTGTGGAGAAGAAAATAAAGTGTTCTGTGCTCTAGGATATGCTAAAGAGCCCTTGTTCTCATAGCTGAGTGTATGAAAACAGTTTTCCTTACAGAAATACATGTCTAAGAGCCAAGGTAAGCTTTGGTGAAATGATTGGTAGCTCTTGTTTGGCTCTAGACATTTCCATGGAAACAGCTGATACAGAAAAGGCAGTATCATAATCTTCTGTGGAAGCTCATGCTGTCCAGAGCAGAGGTATCACTGGGAGTTTGGACAATGAGACACACAAGTTCTATTGGTTACAATTTGTTTGGCCTGTCTTCTTCTCAAACTAAAATTCTAATAAAACCTCCTCCCAGCATTCTCCTCAGGAACCTCTAGTTTAATGCTTCAACAACCAGGAACCAAATAAAGAAATATGAAGCGCCAAATGGAGCTCCACAGCCGAGTTCTTAAAATTCTATGGCACCAATCTTCCTGAAGCTGAACAAACTATTTTGGAGAGGATTTACAAGTCCATGATATCAGTTCTCAGCCAGACAAGGAATGTCATCGGAAGTGTTTATGACATAGAGCTGCACTGGGTGGCCTCATCCATCATTTTTCTCTTTTATGTCTAGGTTATTCATGTGTGTATTTTAACACAAGAACAGGCCAAACACATTTAGCTCATCTTATTTCAGGTAAGTGCTTCTCAGAGAGCCCATGAAAGCAGTCCCACCTCAAAATTGTGCTTCTGAAGCCCACTCAAACCATTACCATATAAGGAAAACAAGCAAAGACAGAGAGGCATGCGACCATTAGCACCATTTTAAGGCCACAAAGGGCAAGAGTGTTGACAGAAGTCTGAAAAGGAATATGGGGTGTATCCTAGAATGGGATCCCAAACATACAACCCACTTGTGGAGTCCAGTATTATGTTTTTTTGAAAAAAAGTCTTTACAGAACATCAAAATCCATGATATATCAGAGGCAAAAGATTTGACATTGTTCTAAAAGCATTCTAAAAGCATCAATGACATTCTTTCTGAGGAACAGACTGCTCATTTGTGGAGATCATCGTCAGCCTTAGAGAACTACATGATGCCTCAGGAAGGTAAAAAGACGTTATTTACTCCCTGAAAGTAGTAATTTATGCATGCAAAGTAGTGTGTAACGAGTTTTTCTCTCTACTCTCTGTATGCTATAACAGTCATGCTCCATCAAGATTACACCTCCACATGGCAGACCATTGAAAAAATATCTATACCTGTGCGCTATGCATGGTAGATTAAACTACAACACAAAACGAAGTCTCAGCTTGGTCCTTTCTAAAATGAGGGACTAAAACTCTAGGGAAAGTTTTACTCAGAGATATGCTGAAGATTTTTATGGTTTGAAGATGACAAGAAGTTATAAGCCTGAAAACCAACTTTAGATCTCATCTGATTTAAATCTTTCATCTTACTGCTGGGAAAGCTCAGGTGTCAACAGAAGTGTTAACCTTTCACCTGGAGAATTGTGACTCTTTTTCCCTCCAACATGTTTATTGCTCAGGTTCCTTTAAATCTTAATATATGTTGCTCAAGAAAAATGACTAAGAAATATCAGGAAAGATGCCACAGTTTTACAAAGAGTTTTGGCAATTCATACTCTGATGTGCTTAATATTAGAAGGGGAAATAATCTGTCATTTTTTGGTTAAAAAAAGAGTAATTTCTTTCAAGAAGTAGGTTCTTTCCTGAGCCACTGTGGTTGGTATGGAGTTGCCTCACAGCTGGGAAGGTTCGTATGTTCCATCTTTGTGGTTCAAGCTGGATTCTGCAGACTCTGTTTCATCAGGGGGGCTAAAGTGGCTGCTATCTTGAGAATCTGTGCCAATGCTTTTGGTCTCTGACTGGAGGTGGACAGACACCTGGACTGCTATTTCTTGGCCTTGTTCATTGAGAGAGCCATCATCTGAATCTCCTCCCGGTGAAGTACTCCGCCCCATCTCTGGGTTGATCACATAGATGCTCCCTTGAGCATCCAAGGCAGGTCTCTCTTTAATTCGTTCGCCCATGTCATCAGGGTCATCCACTCGCACAGCTTCAAACATCTCCTCGACAAAGGCCCGGCAATTGAGAATAAGAGGTGGGAGGGGAACGCTTCTAGCCAGCTCTTCAATATAGCGAGCAAACTCCATGGTCTTAAACTGAGTGACTTTGGCGAGCTCCAGAGTCTTGGCGGAGGTGATGATGGGGATACGTTTGGCAATCTCAAAGGCCTTCTGGAGTTTCTCGGCCCCTTCAGTCCTGAAGAATTCATTGATGGCCTTCTCGGTCTTGCGAAGATGGCTGCTCATCATGCACAGCCGCGTGACATTCAGGATGAGAGTGATGGTGAAGGCAATCAGGCAAACGATCATGTAGTAGATGCTCATGTCTCCAGAGGTGAAGATCACTCGGAGGGTGACAGAGTAGGAGGCACGTGTTGGAGAGGTGACAAAACATGTGTACAGCCCACGATCATCAAAGGCTACGTTGGTGATATTTAGAAACTGATCAGAAACCAGCCATTTTCCACCTGATAAATCCAACAGAAATTAAAAATATATATATAGCATAAAAAAATCAATGTACATGCTAATGGCCTCTTCAATGTCCCACTTCTTTACAAAAGCCATGACTGACCAAAAATAAAAAAGGGAGACAAGTATGTCCAAACAGTACTCATGAGTAATCTTTCAAAAACATTTATATATACGTGTGTACAGCATAATTTCTGCCTGTACAGATACTAAGATACATCTCAGAAATATAAAGCATATATTAAATATACTTCAGATATAAGAAACAATGGTCATTTCTGGAACGAAAGGTTTATAATTTATTTCTATTAAATTGTGCTGGCTCGCTCATTTTTTTTTTTCTTTTTCTTTTTTTGTCGGTCATGGGGCCTGAACTCTGGGCCTGAGCACTGTCCCTCAGCTCTTCAGCTCAAGGCTAGTGCCCTACCACTTGAGCCAAAGCGCCACTTCCAGCTTTTTCTGCTTATGTGGTGCTGAGGAATCGAACCCAGGGCCTCATGCATGCAAGGCAAGCACTCTACCACTGAGCCACCTTCCCAGCCCCTCGCTCATTTTTCATAATGAACTAGTAATAACATAAAATAAAAAAAATAACGTCTTTTTTTTTAAGATAATGAACAATTTTATGCATCTGTTCAATTACAATTAACGAACTGGGGCATACTTTGCACATGTTAACTTGCTTTACTAGGAAATGTTTGTTAATAGTATTATCTTGATTTTCTGGCAAAGTAACTGAGGCACGAGCCTAACAATATATTTCACATGTAAATCAACACTTTGGCAAAGGGAATCAATTTGCCCTTCAAATGCTTAGGCATGTTTTGTCTGTTTCCCCTTCCCTCCGAGACGGGGACTAAAACTCTATCTGATGTTTTTGCTCACTGGCTGGCATTCTACTACCTGAGCCATGCTTCCAATTCTACGCATCAATTTTTTTTTTTTTTTGGTCCGGTCGTGGGGCCTGAACTCTGGGCCTGGGCACTGTTCCTCAGCTCTTCAGCTCAAGGCTAGTGCTCTACCACTTGAGCCACAGCGCCACTTCCAGCTTTTTTCTTATGTGGTGCTGAGGAATCAAACCCAGGGCCTCATGCATGCAAGGCAAACGCTCTACCACTGAGCCACCTTCCCAGCCCCTAGGCATCAATTTTAAATCTAAGACCTGTTCCTTCTCTTCCATATATAAGGGATTGTCATTCATGTATACCAAGTATAAACATATATGAGTAAAGAAAGCACACTGAGCACCCACCATGACTCAACATCCTTTAATTAACTTGCCTCTGTCTGTAGAGTTCCCAGCTTTGGGGTAAATTACCAGAGACTCTGCTCTAACCACAAAACCACTGAAAGACTGGGTGGCATGGGCTAGGATGTGGTATGGGTGTGCACCCCAATGCCCAGGGATGTCCAAGGAGAGGATAGATGAGTTAAGTATCCCTGAATCCCTAATCTTCAAAAATGCTTTCATCAGTTGGGTGCCCTGTGGCTCACGCCTGTAATCCTAGCTACTCAAGCGGATGAGATATGAGGATCATGGTTCAAAGTCAGCCTGGATTGGAAATTCTGTGAGACTTTTTTTTTTCTTTTTGGCCAGTCCTGGGGCTTGAACTTAGGGCTTGGCACTGTCCCTGAGCTTCTTTTGCTCAATGCTAGCACTCTACTACTTGAGTCACAGCACCACTTTTGGCTTTTTCTGCTTATGTGGTACTGAGGGATCGAACCCAGGGCTTCATGCATGCTAGGCAAGTCCTCTACCACTAAGCCAAATTCTCAGCCCTCTGAGAGACTCCTATCTTCAATTAAACACAAAAAACCAGAAGTGGAGCTGTGTCATAAGTGGTAGGATGCTAACCTTGAGCACAAAAGCTTAGGGACAAAAAAAGCTTAGGGACAATGCCAAGAATTGGCCAAAAAAAAAAAAGGAAAGAAAAAGAAAAGTTTTTCTTCAACAGTTTATGGGTCTGAATTATTTTAGGGAGACATTAATATGTACTCTGGATTGTTCCCATTTTTTTTTTTTCGGTCGTGGGGCCTGAACTCTGGGCTTGGGCACTGTCCCTCAGCTCTTCAGCTCAAGGCTAGCGCTCTACCACTTGAGCCACAGCGCCACTTCCGGCTTTTTTCTTTTTGCTTATGTGGGGTTGAGGAATTGAACCCAGGGCCTCTTGCATGCAAGGCAAGCGCTCTACCACTGAGCCACCTTCCCAGCCCCTGTTCCCATTTTTTAAACACCATAATTAAAATTGGGCTAAACTCGAGCTGTATTTATTTTTTTAGTAGCTACTACTTCCCCAATGCAAAAGAGGAAAAAATATGGACCTGTAAACCCAGGCATTATCCTGTAAGCTCTGTTCCATGAACTTGGAGCCATGAAAGAACACTCTCTGAATCAATGGTATGTTGAACTCCACAGACTCCATTAATCAACCAGGATACAATAACCATCATCTAAACTCTATCTCACGCGCTGATAACAGCTCAAGATTTATGAATCTTACATTAGACTGACATGCTCTTTAAAATCTTCTCACTTGAGATTAAAAAAAAATACAATTTTCTAGGACTGCTACTGAAACCACCAATGATAGTTGTTAGTGATTTTCAAAGTTGAAAAAAAAAATAACAACAGGAAAATGAACTGCCATTCTGCTTGGGAGATTTTGTCCTAGCCTAAGGCTTTGTTTATGCAGTGGGTCTATAATGGTCATACTGAATAATTCAAATCTTAGATGTGTTTCTTCAGGCTCTCCTACTCTAGCGGATTGGTATTTTTTCTTTCTTTTTTTTTTGGGTCCGGTTGTGGGGCCTGAACTCTGGGCCTGGACACTGTCCCTCAGCACTTCAGCTCAAGGCTAGTGCTCTACCACTTGAGCCACAGTGCCACTTCCGGCTTTTTTCTTTTTGCCTCATGCATGAAAAGCAAGCACTCTACCACTGAGCCACCTTCCCAGCCTGATATTTTTTCTTTTATTTTGTGCCAGTCCTGAGACTTGAACTCAGGGCCTTGGCGCTGCCCTTCAGTTTTCTGATACATGCTAGGCAAGCAATCTTAGGAGCTGAGCCACACCCATTATCCTTAGTGAATGAATATGAAAGCAGGAATTACTAATCACGTCCTCTAGCAGTTTCCATACTAATATGAATAACTGACATCCTTTATATTTCAAGAGGCTAGATTTACTTTCTAGCACTTCCCCCACTCCCACCAAACAAACAAAAAATAAGGTGGCCTTTCCAAGGAGTTTTGTTTGTAGAGATCCCAGAATTTAATTTTCATCTCTTTTCATGGCCTTTTTTTTTTTTTTGGTCCGGTCCTGGGGCCTAAACTCTGGGCCTGGGCGCTGTCCCTCAGCTCTTCAGCTCAAGGCTAGCACTCTACCACTAAAGCCACAGCGCCACTTACGGCTTTTTTTCTTTTTGCTTATGTGGTGCTGAGGAATCGAACCCAGGGCCTCATGCATGCAAGGCAAGCGCTCTACCACTGAGCTACCTTCCCAGCTCTTTCATGGCCTTTTCATGATCATTCTTTTTGAAGTACATAATAGTTTAAGTACTCATTACAAACATCTTTCTAGCATTGATGACTATATTCACAGATCCACAGATAAAATTAAACCTATCAAAAAGTAAACCTTAGTTGATTATCATGTTTATGTAATTTTAAAATTTTTTTTGCCAGTCCTGGGGCTTGAACTCAGGGCTTGGGCTCTGTCCCTGAGCTTCTTTTGCTCAAGGCTAGCACTCTACCATTTGAGCCACAGCACCACTTCTGGCTTTTTCTGTTTATATGGTACAGAGGAATCGAACCCAGGGCCTCATGGCAAGCACTCTATCACTAAGCCACATTCCCAGCCCATGTTTATGTAATTTTTAAGCAGATATAATAATAATAATAATAATAAAAGAAATGGAAACTTCCCTGTTTCCAAGTAAAGTATGGAACAGAAAAGAAATGAACAACTAGGCCCTGGTGTCTCATACCTGTAACCTAGCTACTCAGGAGGCTTTGATCTGAGGATTCTGGTTGGAAGCCAGCCCATGCAGAAATGTTTGTTGGACTCTTAGTCTCCATTTAACCAGCAAGAAGCTGGAATTGGAGCTGTGGCTCAAGGGGCAAGGTGGTAGCCTTGAGCAAAAAAGGCAAGTGAAAGTACACACACACACACACACACACACACACACACACACACACACACACACACACACACGAGCTGGAAGGATTTTACACACACACACACACACACACACGAGCTGGAAGGATTTTACACACACACACACACACACAGGAGCTGGAAGGATTTTACATACACACACACACACACATACACACACATACACACACGAGCTGGAAGGATTTTAAGGTGGTAGCCTTGAGCAAAAAAAGGCAAGCACACACACACACACACACACACACACACACACACACACACACACACACACACACACACACACACACGAGCTGGAAGGATTTTAAGAAATACCACCCTTCTTCTTTTTTCCTAAGTCGTGAGGCTTGAACTCGGGGCCTATATGCTATCCCTGAGCATTTTTGCTCAAGGTTAGTGCTCTACCAGTTTGAGCCATAGCATCACTTCTGATTTTCTGGTGGTGAATTGGAGATACGAGTCTTATGGAGGCTGGGAAGGTGGCTCAGTGGTAGAGCGCTTGCCTTGCATCCTGAGACCCTGGGTCAGATTCCTCAGCACCACATAAGCAAAAAGAAAAAAGCCAGAAGTGGCGCTGTGACTCAAGTGTTAGAGTGCTAGCCTTGAGCTGAAGAGCTGAGGGACAGGGCCCAGGCCCAGAGTTCAGGCCCCACGACCGGACCCAAAAAAAGTCTCATGGACTGCATGAGACAATGGTGCCTGGTAATACCCTTTTAATTCTCAGAGGGACTCTACAGTGTTATGCACAGATTTACATAGTAGAAACCCCCTCCCTAATCTGTGGGGCTATATTTTTGCATTCAACAGATTACAAAGTAAAAATTAATAAAAGAAATGCCTTTGAACATGTATATTTTTCTTTCTTGTCATTTAATAGTAAACTGTTCGCACAGCATTTATACTGTATTAGTTATAAGTAATGTAAGGATGACTTAATTATGTGTGGAAGTGAGAGGTTATACACAAAAGTACAGTAGACCCGTGGTATTCATGGATACATCGTTCCAAGGAGACTGTTTGAAAGCACCCAGCCCAGGAGACCACACGGACACAGTCACGTTACAGGAAAAGGAGTTTATTTGTCAGTCGAGGCTGACAAGGCCACCTCCCACAATGGGAGAGGGAGAAATGGTGCCTGTTCTTTGTTCAGGGTCAAATTTATAGTCAAGGGGCTAGGGGTGGGAAATATGGGAAGTCCTCTGTGTGCACTTTCAGCTGAACGCTTAAGATGGCACATAGCTGGGGCAGGGTTTTCTGACCATCAGAGTTACCTTTAGACAGCATTCCCGATGTAGCTGGGGGCTCCAGGAAGTGACGTGGGAGGAATGGCCAGGGCTGAAAGCCAGTTGCAGTTAGGCCTGGCCAGATCAACTGATCATGTGGAAGGGGCTGAGAACTTGAGATGGAGAGTATGCTAACAACGTTGAGAAAAATCTGTGCACGTTCAGGATGCCTGTAGAGTTCATCATGTCCTGAGGAGGCATTGAGTTCAATGCTGTCTAAATTCAGCTGAAGACCTGCTCCCTTTCAACAAATCTATAATTTTTAATTATCTCTCAAGCGTTTTACATGTCCTGTTTTGTCTTTGGAAGATAATCCTGTGTGTGTTTGTGTGCACGCGCATATGCTGGTCCTAGGGCTTGTACTATGGGCTTTTACGCTCTCTACTAATTAAAACCACAGTTCCACTTCTGGCTTTTTACTTTTTGGTAGTTTATTAGAAGAGTCTCATAGACTTTGCTGCCTGAGGTGGCTTTGAACCTCGATCCTTAGATCTCAGCCTCCTAAGTAGCTAGGTTTACTGGCATGAGCCACCAACACCTGGCTACTTTTTTTTATTTTAAGTCCAGCCAAATCCCTTTTTGATGTACATACACATGCAGCTGAGAGAGATGACATCATTGGAGCTGTACAGTGTACTGCCTACACAGATGTACATTGCAGCCCTCATTTACCATCAATGAAGAAGGAAACCAAACTCACAACAAAGAAGGAAAATAACTCACTGTCATCCTGTGAATACCTTTTACATTTATAACTATTCCTTATTTTCCTTTGTGGTTAATTACTTTGTTCTTTTTGATAGGTATAATATTCTAGAGACTTTCAAGAAGCTTTAAGGTATTAATCCTGGCATCACATTTTTGAGATTTCTTGCTAAATGTGTCATCAAACTGAGAAGAAAGAATATGAAGGAGGAATCTTGATACATTATACCCAGACACAATTACCTCTGTCATTGCCATCAAGTTGTTGTCCTTTCGAGTTGTACCAGCGGACATCTTCGTGGTGACCGACTGTGAGAAGACACTCCATAGAAACGCTAGTGCCCTCTTTGGCTATGATGACATCATCACCTGAGTGAGAACTTGCTGAGAATTCAAAGCTTGGGAGAAAGGATGCATTGTCAGTTGTCTGATTTGCTTCTGGAGAGGCCATTTGGTTGAAATTTATATCTTCCCAAACAAAAACAGCTGGCACAATCACCACTAAAATGAATAAGCAACAATGTAGCTTCATGGGAGAGTTGGGTAAAAAAACAAAAACAGAAAGAAGAATCTTATTTAGATTTAGAAAACACAAAAGTAGCTCTTCAGTAACAAAAAGCACAGTAGGGGACGTATTGCTTGGTAGAGAAGTTCTCAAAAACCAAAAAGAGAAAAAAAGAAAAAAAAAAGATAGATCCAAGTTATATGTTGAAGTCTTCAAGATTAAAAAGAGGTAAGCTGAGATGAACCTAAAAGAAAGCCAGATATAAATAAGGTTTAAACAAGTGAGATTTATAAATGGGGTGAAGCTGTTTGTTCTAGAGAGGAATAGATATGAAATTGATTAGAATAATGGGTGCTGTCATCAAGAGTGATTAGAGAAAACAGTACCTAAAATAATCTCACACAGAGACGATAGAAGCAGCAATGAATTGGGAAACACAGGCCTAGACTGCAAGCCTAGCTTTTGCTACTAGCTGTACAACCCTGACAAGTAGCATTCTGTCCCGGCTTTCTGCTCTCTCATCTGTCAAATGAGGAAGTGGAAGAGACACCCTCTAAGGACAATTGTAGTTCAGAAATGCTATGGTTCTATTTCACACTGACATATTCTATGCATCAGGGAGGCAATGAAGACTAAAATACTTGGCATAATAATCTTTTATTTCAACATGTACCATTACCATCTGTTGTATCAATAATGTAAATCAACTGGTTCATCCTAATCATAATTGTGGAGCTCAAAATTTGTGTAGTCCAAGTGCATATCTAAATTCAGTATGAATCATGCAGAGATGCCTGAGGTAGATTTTTGTCTTAATATTAGAAAGAAAATTGCATTAACTGCATCAACAGAGATAGTGACTTCTCATGCTATGAAACCTTTCTCTTTGGCAAAGGTCTTAGACAAAGGCACTTTCCATTAGTAAGTTGTTTCTTCAGCAGTAAGAGACAAACATAGCATGTAGAAAGGCCAAATCTCTAGCTCAAAGTCTAGTAAAATAAGGAAAGAAATGACAGCTTAAGTATGCAGTTGGTAGAAATGCAAATATGAAACTACAAGGAAAGATTATTAGACAAATTGAAAAGAACCAAATATCATGAATAAAAAGCAAAAGACCAGTCTAAGAGTCTTAAGTGTTTATGCTTATCTTGCTGCTAATTTTATTCCCTGTTTAAATCACTGGCTCTCTCAAAGAAAAAAATTCAATTTATATTTATATAAAATATGGGATGAAATGCCTCACTTTATTCTTGTAAAGGATCAAGACAATTAGTTTTGGAAATGACATTTAAGCTGTTTATACTCATATGAAGGCTGCCTGATCAGACAACAAAAAAGCAATGGATCGTTGTATTTTGTCATTAAACTCTTCAAAGTCTGAATTACAAGTGGATTTAAATTTGATTTTCATTAGCCCTTGAAAGGATGGTGGAATAATGACAATAAATTTTAAGGATAGACTATGGAGAATAAAACAAGACTACTGACCATGGCTCTTCTTGAGGGATTAAACACAGGCTCATTTCCATTTTCTTCTTAAACTTTACTACAATGACACTGAAGAAAACAAAGATTTGGGCACTGAAAGGGATTTAACAAATGATGTAATCTAAGTTGTAAAGTTTATTAGTATTAGCTAGAAAGTGGTAGGAGAATCTGAATGAAATCTTGCTTTCTTTCTTACTGGAAGGGCTGATAAGCAGAAACTAGGTAGGATTAAACATAAGCCAGCCACTGTGCTTGGGCCTTAACATGTGAGCTTCCAGATTCTTTTTTTGTGCCCATCCTAGGGCTTGAACTCAGGGCCTGGATGCTTTCCGTGAGCTTTTGTGCTCAAAATTAGCACTCTACCCCTTGAGCCACAGTGCTACTTCTGGCTTTCTGGTGGTTAATTGGAGGTAAGAGTCCTATGGACTTTTCTTGTCTGGGCTGACTTTGAATTGTGATCCTCAGATTTCAGTTTCCTGAGAAGCTAGGATTACAGGCATGAGCCACTGGCTTCCAGCCCAAATTATTTATACTACTAGATGTCTAACCACTGGTGGGTATGGCTTTGTCTTTGATTCTAGACAAATGGTTTTCAATGTGAATAGGCTCTGCAGATGCTGAAAGAGTGTCCTAGACATTCATTTCCGAATTTCATTCCTTCTACTGCCATGAGTTTTCTTCTTTTTGCTGTCTCTGGGTACCACATAATTGCCATTTGTGCTTTTCATTTAAGTCAACTCATTTTGTTTTCATTCATGTATCTAAATGTGAAACCCTGTATCATTTCTGTGGATAAAAGGAACTGAACCAGGTGTCCATGGCTCATTTCTATCATCATAGCTACCTTAGGAGGCTGAGATCTGAAAGACTGAGGTTCAAAGTCAGCCTGAACAACAACAACAATAACAACAACAACAAAAACTATAGGTCTCCATCCCCAAAACAACCAGCAAAATCACTAGGCTGGCAACATGGCCAAAGTGGCAGAAAGCCAGTTAAGCAAGCCAACATTCTGTACAAAGAAATAACTTTATGTAAGCATGATGAAGACAAAAGCAGTGTTAGAAAGTAGCCTGCTTAAGGCTGAGCTACAGGCCTGCTCTTTCTTTAGGCAAATAAAACCAGAACCAGCCCCCTGCCCCTTAAAAAAAAAATCCCATAACTCTATTTTCTTCTACCATCACTTCATTTCCTGTCTTGATGTCTCTTTCTTCCCTACCTTTCCCCATGACTGAGTCTTAGACAAACATTTTCATTTATTCAACACCATCTTTACTGAGCTCCTATGGTGTGCCGATCTCCACACTTTCACAAGCTTAGTCTGAGAGGATAGAGGCACTAAATAACACACAAAATATACTCAGCACTATCCCTGGGGCAGTACAGGGTGCTACAGAGGGACTCAAATTGGACACCTTCACTGTTAGGTGTTCAAGCCGACCTGAGGGTAAACAGGAACCAAGGACAGAAGTACCACAGTTGCAGGTCCAAGGCCAGGACAGACAGTCAGGAGGCTTTCAGGAAAGAGCTAGGCATTGTGGCAGTGACAGAAAGTCTTCTGATTCAAATTCAAGTAGGCAGAAAATGCTGGGTCTGGGTTCTCATTCTGTAGGTGAACAGACTGGGTCTAGCTCCTCATTCTAAAAGGGAAACCCAAGATGGATTTGGGAATGACAGTGACTGAAGTTGAGTAAAGGAGATACTTGTCCAAGAACTGAAGAGGCCGTTGAACTGAGTGGCTCAGGAGAAAGAAAGCTCACTTGTGGAGAAGAATATCTTCCCAAGACCAAGACATCAAGTGCAAAAGAATAAATTGTCCTATTTGCTTTTAGATCCCACAGTATTGAGGCAGTGAACAGCTTCTATATGAGAGGACTCTTGGACAGGCAGAAGCTTCTTGTTGGGATGTAGCTCAGTAATAAGAGACTTGTTTAGCATGTTCAAGGTCCTGGGTTCTATCCCCAGACTGTACTGGAGTGAGGAGAAAGGAGAATGAGGGGGAAGGGAGAATAAAAGGGAGAGGGAGAGAAAGGGAGAAAGGAGTAGGGAGAAAAGAAGAGAGGTAAAGAGATAAGGGAGGCGAGAAAGGGAATAAGAAAAGGAAGAGGGAGGGGCTGGGAAGGTGGCTCAGTGGTAGAGCACTTGTCTTGCATGCCTGAGGCCCTGGGTTCGATTCCTCAGCACCACATAAGCAGGAAAAAAAAAGCCAGAAATGGCGCTGTGGCTCAAGTGGAAGAGCACTAGCCTTGAGCTGAAGAGCTGAGGGAGTGCCCAGGCCCAGAGTTCAGGTCCCATGACCGGACCCCCCCCCAAAAAAAAAAAAAGAAGAGGGAGAGTGGGAGAGGGAAAAACTGAAAAAGAGAGTCCTTACGTATTATTAAGGCTGTATGAAATCTATTCTTTCTGCTTTCTTCCTTTCTAGGCTTGGCTCTTGCTTCTATATCCAACTGAGGGCAGCTGGCACACCCAGGCCTCCAATACCCATCTGTCTCTAGTGTACGCTGGTATATGTTAGGTGGTCTGCCCTCAATTATTACTCTTAAGCAAAGAGACTATATTTTTGTCATAACTAGCATATGCTCAGCAAATACTGATGGAGATTAGTTTAAATCTGACAAAATACATGATGGACTTTTATAAACTGACTTAGGCAATAGGGGTCATAATCATTAAACATATATTTGCTAGTTCCTATTATATTCAAGACAAAAATGTCAATATCAATAATCTCAAGGGACTATATATATATAGAGGCTTGAGGTACTACCTAAAGGTTTAGGCCTTTTCCAAACTGGTTCCCTAGTCTTCAAGTCTTAATTCACTATTTTGTTCTAGAAGATAATGGGAGGAATAAAAACTCACCAAATGAAGACATTCTAAATGGGACTAAATATCACAATAATCTAGACAACTTGTCCCCTACCAGATCTAGTAAGAATCTGTGGATTGGGGCTTTGGTATTTATGGATTTTATTAGCTCCCTGGGTAATTCTGAGCCAAAGGATCCATGGTCTTACAGCTAGGGGCCACTAACACAGTTCCTAACTTCCTATATAACAACTCTACCTAATGTTGTTCCAGCCTGTTTGAACTCATATACTCACATCCCATTCTTGACTTAGTTTATACTGGAACAATATAACTGAAAGTCTGGTAAAGTCGGGGAGGCAGAGAGAGGTTCAGGATATAGATTCTAGAGTCAGATTTTTCTGGATTCGAATTCTGCCTCTAATCAGCCCTGTAACATTTTTGTGTGCACTGATCCAGGGGCTTGAACTCAGGGCCTAGGCTCTGTCCCTGAGCTTTTATGAAGGCTAGCATTCTACTATATGAGAGCCTCAGGTACACTTCTGGAGGGTGTTTTGTGTGTGTGTGTGTGGGGGGGGTTAATTGGACATAAGAGTCTCATTTTGGCTTCAAATTGTGTTCCTCAGATCTCAGCCTCCTAAGGAGCTAGAATTATAGGTGGAAGCCACTGGCACTCAGCTTACCTTTATAACTTTTACAAATGACTTATTCCTGTGCATTAGCCCTCTCATCTTTAAAGCAGGAAAATTAATAGTATTTACCTTCACAGAATACAGTAAAATCAAAATGAGACAGTCTATATAAAGCACACAGTTTGGCAGTAACAATCACATGCTGTTGTTATTTTGTTGTATTTCTTGCAGTTACTGCATTAAAGGAGATACTGCACAATTGCATCATTACGAAGCATTTTCACTTAGCATACCATACAACCACTTAAAAATCTTG